GAACCGAACCCTGGTTGCCTCTCCAACCCTTGCTGCTCCCTATCTAACAACACACAGCTTCGCAGCACGTGAGCCAAAAGCTGTCCAGGAGGTCGGTGCATAACACCGAGTGGGGAATTCAGAGCGTGGCTATCTCGTGCCACGACAAAGCCGTGTATAGGAAGGAACGTTTCTACAAGGCAGGACAGAGTGTTAGACACTGAGCAGAACCTCACTGCGAGACCAAACTCTGTGACGGGCAAGGACGGATCAAAAGGTCTCAGGGCCAGCGTTCGGGCGCCTGCATAGGCTGTGCGTGCGCGTGGGCTCTGATTCATAATAGACGTTCGGGAAAGATCGGACGAATCGACTCTGGCCCTGTTGCATGTGCTGCAGCTGACATGGAGAATCTAGCCTGCAGGATGGGGCGTCTCTTCCCGTAAGAGCTGATCGACGCCACTTTAAAAAGAAAATATCATGAGGACTTTTTGAAAGAGCCCAAAACCGCCAACCAGCTTCGAAAGAGGTCGTTTAGCAGCACAAATGTGAAGCTCCGTATACGTCTTACGATTAAGGGGCAAGTTTTGAATCTCATTAAAAGGTGTTTTTGAGAACTTTTATCTCTGACAACTTGACTTTGATGAATTCGGTACAAAAAAGTCCTGGAGACCTGGTGACTGGGACATAGCTGTTTATTTTACTTGTCCACTGTCACCGTGGCAAAACTATTAATTTTGATCCCGAATGTCGTTTGCTTTTAAACAGGCAGTTTGCCAGTTGAGAAGTGACGTCGCACGGGAAAGCCAACACCTGGGCCCCCGCACGGCACCCGGCCTTCACAGGCTCCGAAGAGCAAGAAACGTTATGGAGATAATACATCCTCTCGGGCTGTGGCTGCATGTTCCACGTGCCAGGAGGGTCATCAGATCAAGGCACCACCCCAGAACTACGGTGACGTCTGCTGGCTGCTCGCCACTCCAGGTGGGCTGGCCAGGGTCTGGGCAGGTACTACCTGTCAACAGGGCCGTCTCACCCCCTCGGAATGACTCGGTTGCTTAGTGCATTTAAAAGCAGTATGAGTTATAAAAGCAATAATGAATTCTACTTGTGTGGAAATATTGAAGTCATGTGACTTGGCGAGAAAATGTTCATTTTTATTTCTGTTTCTATAACATGAAATGGAGGTGCTTGCTGCTTTTGTAGTTTAAGAAACAAATACTGCTTTTGTAGTTTTAGGGAAAAAAACAGTGGAATACTGTGAAATAAACAACAATATAGTGTATGTTATGGTATATACAATAGATATAGTAGGTATATAATTATATATAATTAGATTGTCCTGTAAACTGGTTTTTATATCTTACTGGTTCCCGCACTAATTAACGAGTCTGGTAAAATCATCGAAACGTTCATTTTAATTGTCTGAGAGTTTGGATTTCACCTTTCGAAATTCTACTTTAACGTAGTCTTTTCAGGATTTTACAAGACTTACCTGTCTGAAATAACCCAGGCTGCTCTTTGACACACAGGAGTTATGCTTCTGCCAACAATGCTAAACCTTATCTTTTGCGTATTATAAATGGGTTTGTTTCCTGTGGCCTGAAGGCCGTCAGACTCTGGGGCCATCTGTCACGAGACATGCTCTCACAGAGGTGACTAAGAAAACATTCTGCTTCAAGTCTGGTCCAAACACCGCTGACTTCCTCATAGAACATCCCAGCGGCTGCGTGCCTGTCCGTACATGACCCTGTGGGGTGGAGGCGACCGAAGCCTGTCCCGTCCATCACAGCCCATCTCTGTGCCCGAGCAGAGAGCTTAGCTCTGGAGACCTAGCTGTCTGGGGACCTGACACTCACCTGCAAAGTTTTCCCGTGAAATTTCCCAAACAGAGGCAAGAATAGCCATCGGTGTGACTGAGGCAGGTGGCTCCGTTTGCACACTGGTGACTCCGGCAATTGTCTGTGTCCGCTTCGCAGTTCACACCGCTGTATCCAGGCTCACACCTGCAGTGATAGCCTGCAACTCTGTCGGAGCAGTTGCCATGGATACAGGGGTTTGAAAAGCATCCGTTGACGTTGAGTTCGCAGTGCGTCCCTGACCATCCCAAGGGACAGGAGCAGCGATAAGAGCTGTAGATATCTTCGCAGGTTCCTCCATGCAAACAGGGGCTGGAGCCGCAGGCGTTTAACTGCAAACAGCCGGTAACCACCGAATTTCTAGAGATTTTGAGAAACTGCTCTTCCTGGGGTTTATTAATGAAAGTGCGAGCACTCTCGATGTAAGAGAGATAAATGCCACTGATTTCTATCGTACTCAGGCACCCTTGCAGGCTCCCCACGCTGCCGAGAGCACGGCCACCCACGTGAATGTCTGTATTCTCCCTCAGAAAGTCGAGGCTTCCAGCAGCCACTGCACTGGTCACAAGAGGTGCTGGGCTGTCCACTTCCATCTGCCACCTGGAGGTCTGGGCCAGCGGGTCCGTCATGGAAAGAGCCACTCGGTGCCACAGGCCATCACTCACCGACTGAACACTTGTCAGGCTCAGCTCATAGATGCTGTTGCCACTTTGCAACTGAAAGAATAATCTGGAATCTTGAATGCTGATGTTAAGGAATTCGGGCTCCTTCTCTGCATACAATATGGTGACATTGGCACCCTTTGTTCTGAATCCAAAGTTGATATTGGTGAGGTCTCTGGTAATATTTCCGTTGCTCCTGAATAATATTTCACTGCTTTGTCCATTAAAAACGGCATTGGCGGTACCTACAGAGAGGCAGTGAGACCAATCAGCAACTTTACCAGGTCTGTAATATTTGCTTAATCACCTTTATTAGTATGAATGATTGTCACATTGCTACCATCATGTACTGATCGTTCGATATGTGCTGGGCACTGTGCTAGCTGCTTTTATGTTATTTCTGACACAGAGTTCTTGAATACGGGCTGATTATTATCGTCCCCATTTTATAAAAGAAATGGAGACTCACAGAGGTCTGGCGATTTCCTCACGGTCCAGTTGCTAATCACTAGTCAAGCCAGAATGGCAAAAGTAGATAGATGGTCGGGTACCAAAACCCAAAATATTAACTTCTTCTCCATCAAAATCCAAGTCCATTTCTGTATTTATCTTACGTTTGCTTCCCCAAATGAAACACTCATTATCCATTTTATACGTAAAGAAACCAACATGTGTAGCTAGCGATGGTGACACAGTAAATGAACGGTGGAAACTGGCCTTGGATTAAGCTGACCGGTAGGCACTTAAAAGTCACTTCCGAATGACTATTTACCTACCTGGCAAACTCCAAGGTTGGGCCAAGCTACCATCTCTGTGCCTAAGCCCAAGTACTTCTGTTTGGCAAACATCGAGTATCTAATGCACTTGACTCTTTATACATTGTTCCTATAATCATCACACACACACAAAATTACCTAGCTATAGAGTATACTGTATCCTTATTCGAGAAGAAAGCTGCAGATGGCGAGGTCATGTGACCTCCCGGAGGCCTCACAGTTAATAAACGGCAGTGCGCTGACACCTTCCCTCTGTCTCTCATAACGGGAAAAGCCAAATATTACCTTTCCTCAGAACTCGGCTTTCTATGATCAAGGTTGGATGTCGCTACGACCTCCATTCCGCCCCCAGAAACGTACAGGGCCACCCGGTTTATTCAGTTACTCCTATTAGGTGTATTAGGCCACTCATGTCCGAGGATGCAGCCGCCACGTCGCTTGAGCGACCTGGTTTTGTCTCTGTTCTTTCTCTAGGTGCCTTCACAGAACGCCAGAAACGCCCGGCCTAATCAGAGGGATGACCCGTGTGAAGTCCACCTACATTCGAAGCCCCGAGGCAGCAGCTGGCACTGGGCTCCGGCGGGGCAGGGCTTCAGGGCACACCACTGGACTTCCTCGCAGGCCTTCCCAGCCGTGTTCGTGGGGCAGGAACACGAGAAGTCATCCCACAGGGAGTGGCACACGCCTCCGTTGTGACAGGGGCGGGACTGAGCAGAAAAGAAACCAAAGATGTAAGAAGCACTGGCAAGGGAGCGGACACGCGGTGACGGTGAGCCCCGTATCTATTGTTCTTAGATGCTGATGTCCTGCATTTAAAATTTGACGTTCGCGTTCTAGTTTACCCTTAAAACTTTTATGTCTGCTGATTCATAAACAGAATAAAACTTCTACCATTGGCAATTTTTTTTTTTTTTTTAAGAGACAGGGGTGCAGAGAGAGAAGTAGAGATGGAGTGGAATGAGGAGGAAGAGAGAATGTGTAAAGTCGATGTGCAGCCCAAGGAGGGTCAGGAAGGCCGACCGCTGGTCTCTGTCACATACAGGTTGAGGGGCATGTTCAGTCACCCCAATTATCGCCAGAGGGAACCAGGGCCCCCCTGCTGCCCAAAGCCCTCTCAGGGAGTCACGCATGGAAGCTTGGCACCCGGGATCTCTGGGTCCCAAAGCAGGGGTCACCGTCACCCCTCTTCAGGGGCTCCGCCTCTGAGTCAGACATCCGATTATTATTTCGCTCCTCACAAGGGTTCTCGTAATGTATTCCAAATGGAAGCATTTAGAGAGGACTGTCTGGGAGCTCAGAGTGCATCCATCTGAGATCCACTAGTCACATGATGGACGCGGGTCACGCGACCTGTCTAAACTTCGGTTTCCTCACCTGTGAATAATGTAAATGGGGACAAGTACAGTGCCCGCTTGTAAGCTGGCAGGTTAATTCTTCCGCAGAATTAACTGGATCGATCCACGTAAAATAGCGCCTGGCACACTGGGCTCCTACGGTGACATTGCGATGATCCCTTTTTAAGATCAAGCCCAGTGCATGGTACCAGCTGGAGCTCACTAACCGCTCAACAGATATAAACGTATTTGCTTTTTCTTTGAAAGGTCATGCCGAGCCGACAAGTTCACATATTTATGTAGCTTTTACAAGAGCACAGAAAATATACAAAGCGAAGCATGGGCTCTGAGAAATGACATTTCAGAGAATTTCAAGTCCAACTGCCTGCAGGACCTTATAGCTCAGATGCTTTTCTCGTTGACATAATAGAAGTTCAGAATGATGGTAGGTGGGCGCTGATGATAACGTTACCTATATCTCTCAAAGAGAGTCCATTCACCTAAAACTCAGAGAAGCCAGGGAATTAAAGTACGATAATTCTTAAGTAATTTGGTCATCACGAGGCCACACACGTGGAGTCATCTGCATGGTTAATTAAGCAAACCGTGATGCAAATTTTTATTTTTATTATTTTTATGGCTCAAAATACACCTTGCAGTCTTGCTAGGAAAATATTGATGAAGAATTAGTCTACGGCCGTGCTCAGCAACACCTCTGCTTACGAAGAAGGGTGATAATAAATTACCTGTTTAACAAAAGAACATGTTAGCATGCAATGGGGACACCATCGGTACGAACACCCTACCTTGCACATAGTGTCTCCAGGACAGCCTCGGGTGACATTGACGAGGACTGGACTGGGGAGCGCGTCACTCGTTGAATTTGGGAAGAACTCCAGGTGTTGGTCATTTAATCTTACATCCTGGATACAGCCTTTGAAGAAGCCCCCGTAAGCCTTGGTCTGCGTCCTGTCGGGCAGGCCACCGAGGTAGATGACATCGCCTCTTCGGATGTGCCAGGTAGGAGCCGAGATAAATCCTAGGCTATGTGAAGACTGATGCACTTCGATTCCTTCCGGCCTGATTTTCAGAGATAGAAAGTGAAGGCTTCCATCGCTGAGAACCGAGCTGACTTCTAAGTTGGGAGAAGCCGGGTTCAGCCCCGCCAGCCTGCCATGCTCTAGCCAGACGCGGATGTGCCGACGAGCGCCGCCCTCCAAAGCCAGCAGGACACCCGAGGGCCGACGGGTCCGCAAGAACATGGACAGGGTGGCATTCCCGTCGTAGCTCTCGTCGAGACGAAAAGCAGCATACCCGGGAGAGTCGTCTTGGCCGAATCTGCCTGCCACATACTCTTCAACGTCAAAACAGAAGAGGAGAAACAAAGAAACAGCTTAAGACCCGCAGGTAAGAAGGGGCAGAGGATGAAATACAGACACGCGTACGTCCATGCTTATTTTTAAAAGTTCAGGAGGGCTTATGCAGCGGAATGACCATCTGGCCTGATTTTCTCTCCTTCTGAGTGTTCTTTATTCTGAAAACAATGACATGGTTTATAGTTTATAGCTGAGGCCCACTTCTTATAAGAGAGAAGACACTCTCTGCACTGATACACTTACAAACCTCGCCTTCGAGGCCCTAAAAAGGTGGGACTTCAGGGTGGAGACCAGGTGCTACTGCACCCCAACTCGGTAGAAGAAATTGGGGATGCAAGAGCCCTTCCTGCAACACCTGGAAGCAGACTATGCAGGCAGTCGCCTTTTCTGCTTTTTGGGGGGCATGCTCAAGCAAATATCATTGAACCCAATCATTCCTTCTAAAGCACAGAAATCGAAAATTAGATTCACAAATCCTCTTTCGGGATGATGCTCCTGATAATTAGAAGTAAGGCAGTTGCACGAGGGTGACGAGCTGTCTGTCTTCTCTGTGGTCCTGTTTGGGGGGGTGGGTGGTAGAGGCACAAGGGACAGAGAGCGAGGGTGAAGCTGACTACTGAGCCCGCCAGCATCACCTGTGCTCAGAGGAGTTAGCAAGGCATGGACATGGCAATGTCATCGATGCGTGTCACCTCGAGAAAACTCTCGAGAAGTATAAAAATGAACACTGGCTCTCAGGAGCATGGATGACAGAGTAGGACCAAGAATTCTATGTTCCTAAAGCTTCGATTCCAGTTGGTGAAGGGCAGGCCGGGCACAGGTCATAAAGCAAACCGTATGGCATTGCAGGTGGCGATAGGTTCTTCGGTATAAATTAAGTGAAGCAGAGAAAGGGAGTAGGGAGGACTGGGGGTAGGAATGAAGTTCTCATCTTAAATGAAGATGCCCGGGAAGAAGGCTCCGAGAAGGCAGGATATGAGAAAAACCTGAAGAAAATGGAGATGTTGCAAAAATTCAAGACAGATGGTGGCAGCTTGGGTCTGGCGGCGGGGCAGGTGCTGAGAAGTGCCCAGGTTCTGCTATCCAGAGGTTCCCGAACCTGACCACGCATTGTCTTAAAGATATTGCCATCTTTGAGTTTTTACTTTGCGATCGCAATGACCAGAAAAAGGAGCCCGTTTAGTCGTGTTTAAATGTCATCGTGGACCCGTGGAAGTTTGGGCAACCGGAAGAGACTCTTCGTTGAGCTGAACTATAGTAAAACACGCCTGGGTGACGGTCTGCGTGTGAAGTCCCGCTCAAAAGGCCAGATTTTCAGAACTCGGACTCGATTTCCTACCGGAACATCGCATCTTGAATCTGCATCGGGAGACCACCTGCTCCAGGCAGCTCCAGGTAGCTTTCAAAGTGCATCGTGAGATAAAATCACCCGTTTGAAGAGATGAACCTCTCTGAAGACAGCACTTTCATATGAGATAAAATGCTTGATAAAGCACGGCTCTTGAAGCTCCTAAGGTCTGAGAATATGCACAGAATTGGTCCACATTGGGGGTGGCCGGATCCCCGCTGGTCATCCCAGGAAGCCAGAAATGACACTTTGTGCATCAGATTAAAAGGCAGACAGAATGCAGATCTGTTTTTTTTTTAATCCTCAAGCTCAACTCTCCAGCAACCCCATTCCCCCCCAACCCCAGAAATCACAATCGATCGGTCAGAGCACGTTATGTGCTACTTGATTTCAAAAACACCTGAAGCCACGTATGACTCGGCCGTGGACATGGGAAGGGATGATTCTCAGGGGAAGGGATGATTCTCGTGCACGTTGCCGATGCGTCACAAAGGAGGATGACAGATAGTGTTAAAAATGACTTCGACAAGTTTTGATGACGGATGGACTCCAGTGAGATGAAATTTAGGAAGAAAAAATAAAAGCCACTCACAGGTGTGGGGTGGAATCGGCAGGACGCCGGGGCACCGCGGTGAGAACTCCTCGAAGCGAGCCGGTCTTGGAGTGTGGCCGCTCAAAGGTCAAGGTGATGTTAGGCTGGAAAACAGACCTGTACCTGGGAGGAGGGGAGTACGGCCTGGTGTCACTCCACACGCTCCGGCCCATCTCGGAGCCAGAGAAGCAAACTTTTCCCAAAGTGTCTGAAAACCACGTCATGTGGAAAACATTAGACGAAACCGGGCGTGTTTAGCGGGGTGGAGTGGTGGCTAGGATGGTACAAGATGCTTTTCCTTAAACATTCACGCGTTCCCAGGAGCTGCCCGTGAAGGAAAGCTGTGCGTGACCCCATTTTGTGTCAATATGAGGAAACAGCTTTGGGGGCGTTCCTGGCGAGACGGAGTGAGTTCTCCATTCCCTAAGGTATGTAAGCCGAGGTTTGGGCCACTGCACCCGGCAGACACAGCAGCATACAAAATTCAGCCATGGAGTGAAGCTCCTTCTCTCTCTGAGAAACTGTGACTCTAAGAAAATAAGAATCTCAAAGTCTAGATGTCTGACGGAAGTTAAAAATGATACGAATGGCCTCTGCGACTCAAACACGCTCCAGAAGGCACGAGGTCGGGGACACGTGTCTCCCGAACGTCATCTCGGAGGCTCCGTATTCGTACACGCGGCCAACACGAGATACCCCCGGACGACGTGGAAGACGGTTCTGGGAACTAAGCTTTGAGAAACGCTTTTCGGGACTCCCCTGGGTGACTCACTCGATCGTTTTAAGATCGGCTTCAACGTACGGGAAGTCCCTGCATCTCCTCGACCAGCCACCTGCTGTACCCTCTCTGCAGTCAGCCTGAGCACCCACCGCAGGGTGTGTGCCACGGGCGGCGCGTGCCAGGCCAAGGTCGCGAGAGCGTGACGTTGGCCGTGGTATCTGCAGTGCGCCTCTTCCGTCCTGAGCGTGGAAACATGGTGACAGAAGGAGGCCATGCCCTCACGCCCCGAGCACCTCTAAACGCGCAGACGCCCCCAGCAGACGTTCCCCGTGCGTAGCAGCACGCACAGGAGACTCTCCTCGGATGACTGAGAGGTGATGCGACAAACACAAGTTTCCTTAAGCGTATACCGAGAATTTTCAGAAAGAGAACTCCCTCCCCACAGAGGTATCTTTTGAAGCAAAGGATTTTCGCGAAGGTGAAGCAGTTTCCAACAGTGCGGGAAAATGGAAAATAAAAAATAAAAAAACAGGCGTCGGGGTGGGAAGGAACTTGGTTTAAAAACTTTGTGATTTTCCAAATTGGGAAAAAGAATCTAAAGAAAACCAGAAACCCACTGCAGTGGCATCTCTTGCATGTAATTACCAGGACAGTGAGCATCAGCACGGTCAGCTTTAACCTCACGGGTCACTGCCTTTGGAAGCCAGTCAGAATGAGTCAACATCTGTTTGTTATTTCGAATATGTAGTAAAAGTATTGCCTTGAGTCAATTATGTTTTTCTTCAAAAAGTGAACACTGCCCAAGCATAATTTCCCCTTTTCTCCTTGAAAAAGAAATCACCAAACAACTTGCCACTCGGTGTAAAATATGACATTGGGCTGGCAGAGGCCATACCTCATTGACACACGGGCCCATGATTTGTAATGAATATTGCGGTCGGCCGGGAGACCCGTGAATAGTTTCTAATAATTCTGAGCCATTTGTACACGGAATCGGCTATAGGGTAAGACTGGTTTTAATTTTACTTCTTCTAAAGCAGAGAAGACTATTTACCAGATGTTGTCCTACTTGAGGTTACTCTAAAATCTTGGGGGTAAATTATAGCAAGACTTCAAAGCAGTCTGTTGCAATCACCTCTCAGACATTTTCAATGTGCGATAATAATAATAAAAAGAAACAGCTACGTATTGATCACTATCAACAGCAATCTTTGGAACGATGTTAGAAGTTAAGGATTTTGAAATACATTTCAGGCTGTGATTGGCTAGAGAAATTAGATCGATTCGTTTATGACATCTACCAAATTTCATGGGCTTTTTGCTTTCTTAACATATGTAGGTAGACCATCTGTTTTCTCCAAGGCAACCCTGGAAAATATACTTTCGAATAAAACTGGTGGTTTATGAAGATGCTAGACTCCAGCATGATTTTGGAGCAAGTGAGGGTTTCACAGTAAATATTTTCTAAGAATCTACTGTGCCCAACACATTGTGCTAGCAGCTGTCACCGACTAGCTTGTAAATAGCCCAAAAGCTTACTTCTCTTTCAAATAGGATTTCTAATCAATTTCCGATACATGACAAATGGTAAAATTATAACAGCATTTTGTAAACATTTGGATGGGAGCCATCGGCTGATTTTTCACTGCTGTGTGAGTGAAACTCTGATGCCCTACGTATGGATCCCCCCAAAATTAGTGAATGCACATCAGTAACCTCTTCATGGTTCTCGCCGGCAGGGGACCCGCTGTGGCAGTCGAGAGGGGCCACCGTGTTTCGCAACGGGCAAGAAGCAGGCCGGCACGGGCACACAGCCCCAGGCGCCCGGCCTCCACTCACCTCCCAGGCAGTCGGGGCCCCCATAGGGCCGGGGACAAACACATTGGTAGCTAAGCCACAGGTTGACGCAGCGTCCCCCGTTTCGACAAGGGTGGCCCGCACACCGGTCCCTTCTCACACAGCCTGCCCTGACGTTGAGCGAGGAGGCAGGGATGTCACCGGGGGTCACGGGGGTAGAGTCGATCTGAACGTCTTGGAGACAGCCCACAAAGGCAGGCGTGGGCGGCCGGTCACGGTCACGGTCACGGAGGCCAGCCCAGTCCGCGGGGAAGCCACCCAGAAAGGAGTCTCGTAAGGCGCATGCCGACTGATGCCTTTCAAACGGAGAAGGCGCCGTGGTGACGCACATCCCTGCACAAGGGCCGTCCAGCAAGGTGAGGGTCACGGCCTCTGCAAACGTCGCCTCCACTGAGTGCCACTCGCCGTCGCTGGTGTTGCGTGAGATCGACAGGTGTGCCCTGGACTTATTACCGACCTGAACTATTAAGTGAAGGTCGCCGCTCAGCAACTCCAGCATTATAAACGCGCCCCTGTGGCCCCGGAGAAGCAGCAGGGCTGTTGGCTGAACAGTCTGAAACCTGAGGGCGAAGTTACAACCCGAGTCGTTGGCTATCACCGAGCTGCTCGGGACCCACAGGAAGCCGTCACCTTCAAAAGAAAGCGTGGTGACAGTTTCGCACAGTGACCCAGTGTAGCCAGGAGGACAGAGACAGCTGAATCCATGCTGGCCATTTTGGAAATGAGGAACGCATAGTCCATTATTTAGACACTGGCGATGGGTACAGCCCAGGAGAATATCAGAACAGTCCCTTCCTCCGTAGAATGTTCTAGACTGGTGATCAAACGGGCAGTGGCAAGTATAATTCCCAGGCAGGTTCTCGCAAGTGCCACCGTTGTGGCAGGGGTTTGAGGAGCATTCGTCCAGGTCTTCTTCACAGTGGATTCCTGTTAAGTAACGAAAAAAACAACAAAAAACGAGTTGAAATGACATATATCGAGATCGGAAATAGAAGATTCCCATCATTTTCACGGCAAATCTTGTGGAAGTGCAGAGCTGACCCAGGGTAAAGCTATCGTGGAGTAAAATGTGACTGGTTATTGAGGACGCTGGCATCCATTCTACCATACGGAGAAGCGCAGGCCTTGAATTCTTCTAGAAATAGATGATTTGCCAAATATAGTGGTTGCGTCCAACTACCATCGTCAGACATATATTGAATATCATAAAAATGAGAAAAAAAGAGGAAAAGGTTGCCCTTGGCAGCAACGCTGAGCACGCATTATTTATTCGGGGACTCCATTCTCAGAGAGAGTTTATCCTGTCCTAGGACGCTGATTTCAGTCTTCTGTACTTGAGTTTTGCATTCTGCCTTGTGCGTGCCTCCCCGCAATCCCTAAAACCAGCGTTTTCTAGATGCAGACA